GAGCTCGTGACGAAAAGAGTTCAGACGGCGATCTGGGCAATCGGGGCTTGGTTGTTGGGCAGCGGGTTCTAGGGGTGGTGGAGCTAGAGTTAGGGATTCTTGGTGGAAGGAAGAGAGAGAACGGAGAGAGAGAGAGAGCTGGAATGAGAGAGAGAGAGGTGAGAACGAGAGAGATAAAGAGAGAGAGAGCTCGTGACGAAGCCTCCGTGCGGTCGATTTTGCTGAATAAATTTGTAAGAGGTCGATTTTGCTTATTAATATTAAAAAAGGGTCTTTTTTAAAAATTTGTCCATAACGAAATCATACAATAGTGCACGCCCACTTCAAACACCAACTCCAACTGAAGAACTCAAAACCAACCTTTTATGTGACCCCACTCAAATGTCAGATTCCACAATTAGTAGTGTTATTAGTAGTTCAATGGGTGCATATGATTCAAATACAGCTCAAATATTGCAACTACATAGCCAATGTATATTTATAGATTTTAATAATCATACTGCACAATAGATATGGATCCAGATATTTCCTCAAGTACATATATTTAATACTTATATTTTTGTGCACAACACGTAACCACTAATTGATGAGGTTGTTTTTAACAACCATCATACTAGCGATGAGAGAATGAACCTTTTTGACATAAAACAGTTACAAACTTTTTTAACTTTTAATTATATAATAATATTACTTTGGAGAAATACATGATGCCACACTGTTTTACTTGAGAGTATGATTTATTATCTTAGGGTCAAATATTCCTATGATCTTACTATTAGAATGACAAAACCTCAAAGCAAACGGCTATTAAAAGCCTAGAAGTCGTCAAATATTTTATGATCTTAATATTAGAATGACAACACCTCAAAATAAATAAACAGCTATTAAAAGCCTAGAAGTTAAACTGTGACACAGCTATTCAAAACTATAGGTTATTTGCAAGTAAATACCTTAATCACCAATATTAAATTAGATGCCCCTATTTTGTTTTTTACCCAAACTAATACCCAAAAGTTCAACAAAAAAAGACTTGGATGTATCAAAGTTAAAAATTTTTAAAACTTTCGTAGTCTTATTTGGTTAGATATGGAGCCTTACAATATAAGTTCAAAAAGAAAGTACACTTTATGAGCAAATAAACTCAATAACAAAATCTAGAACAACCACTAAATTATAAAACAGAAAATACTTTTCTCAAAAAGTAATATTTTTATTATTAAAAATTTCTATAGATTTTCATAAACTATGTTTTTTATTCAAAAAAATTTACAGAAATATTTTCGTAAAATACAAAAAATATTAAAATTTATAAAAATTAATTTCTCTAACAGAAATCACACAAAAATCTGACACTCATTGACACTTATTTTATAAATTTAAAAGATGTTTGGTTCAATTTCTACAAATGATAACAAATCTTGTTATTTTCTATAAAGTTATGGATTATTTTTTTGTTTTGAACCAAACAAGCAAAGTACAAATCACAAAAAAATTAATATTTTTTTACCTCTCCAAATTTTTTCTATAATTTTTTTAAGAAATACAAGAAAATCATATTTTAAATAAAAAATATATTTCTAACTCGTAAAAATTGAACCACACCCCCTAAGCCTATCTAACAACATAAAATAGCTAATATTCCGATTAACCTAAAAAATAAAAAATAAATATGCATAATAAATTTCATGGGAATTAGAGAACAGTGGCTTTTCACTCTTCTGTATGAACAAAGCCCTCGATCACAAAAAAAAAATAAATAAATAAATAAATTCGCTCTCACATACGAGATATAATGGATCATAGGAAGAGAAAGGAGCTCGTAAAAACCGTGGGCATGCGGAGTTTCGGGAAGTAAGCAGTTTCTTCAAAAGGCTAAAAACACTTCCCCGAAAGTCTCATACCCACAACTCTTACGAACAGGTCCCTTCTATTCCCTCATCGATCGTCCTTATTTTCCTCTCAGCTGACTGAGCCTGGGTGGCGGGGAAAAATGAGACTTGAGATCAGGGGAATGGGCGGAGTAGGCAAAAAGAATTACAATAATATCGATGATCAGGGGATCATTTCGATATTTTTAGCCTATCCGCCCACTCCCATAATTCCAAGAAACCCATCTTCCTTCCCCACCAAGCTCTTCCTTCCTCCAGAAATCTCGCTCTGTAATAAGCACACGAGCAGAGATGCTTGGTATATATTGTGAAGGCCGAGGGATCGTGGTTTTGGAAAACCACCTCAGGCGCCCCTGGTTTCTCTAAAACCAGGATAGGAAACGTGTAATGGCTCCTGTGGTCTAGGGTCCGCCGAGAGTTTACTCTTTTGTATAGGGGCGGTTTGGTTGGCAAAAATAAAGGGTTGAAACAGGTTTTTAGCTCTGACTGATTGACAGTAAGAAATGTAAGATCATTTACTTTTTCTAATCTAAAGTTTGGTTCAAACTCAAATTTAAAGAAAACTTTGATGGAAATCACCCGCTAGCGTAGAAAAACAAGAACCCCAATTTTTAAAGTTTTAGCTTGGAAATGGGACGTAGATGAAGTAAATTGTTAATATCGCTGCCAGCTAGACCGTGGGAACGCATAGAAAACAGCGGGAAAAAAGCTCATTGTTAATATCAACGCCTTATCTCTTTTTCCTTTCCTCTTCCTTCTACATTTTCCATTTCCGTCTCTCTTCTTCAATCCTTCCACCACCTCTCTCCGGCCAAAAAAAATTATGGAAAATATTGAGAAGTGAAACCTACATTGATCCTATCTGATATCGATCCCTCTTCCACTGTCAATCTTCTCTTGCTACTTCAATGGAAATCCAAGCTTTGTTAGGGCTAATAGTTGGTTATTTCATCGGTAAAACATCTTCAAGTTTGGGTTATTGGTTCGGCGGTCTTCTATTTGGGTTATGTTAGAGGTCGATTCGTTGCTTTGCTACGTTGATTGCTTAATCCCTCTAAGATCTAACTGCTTTGGGGTTAATCCATCTGGAGAACCTCACCGAGCTTCTTTGAAAAATCTCTGAAGGTAATTTTCCTGATAATTTTGTTTTTCCTTTTTCTTTCCTTATTTTTTTAATAGTAAGTTTTTACATTCACATGCAAATGTCACTTCTTTTTAATAACCACAATAGTTGTTTGCAATGAAAAACTTCTTCAGTTTTACATTCACAGAGTGGACCAACTGACTTGATCATGCATTATTTTGTTTGCTAAATTTTAATTATTATGCAATTCATGTGAAAATTATTGCTTTTAAATGTATTAGAATTGAGCAATTATACTTTCTGAAGGGTGTGTGAATTTCCTTATGTAAATTGTTGCTAATAGTGACAAGTTCTTGAGATTTTAAACGGTGGTCACATTATTTGTGTTGTCATGTTATTTGTGTATGGAAATTTTTTTATAGTAATTTGTGTGTAGAATTTAACATCTCTTCAAATTTTGTGTATATACTTTAATGTATAGAATTTTTATGACTGTAATTTATGTGGCAACCCACCATTAACAGTTATTCATGTTGTTCAAAACACATCTCTCAGGAAAAAAATGTGTTTGACCTTGATATTTAAAACCCAACAGATTGTATTGCGATTAGTCTTGGTTAATACATTATTGTGTTAATATACATGTCTATATACATATGCATATGATTGTGTATACATATATATATATGTATGCATATGCATGTATATGCAAGCTAAACAATATATATGGAAAGGTGAATCTAAGATGACACCCTATGCTCCCATCTAAGGACGCGGCCTAAAATCATATCATTTCCTAATTTTTTTTACGATCCGCTCCGTTGAACTTGATCTACACGTTCTTAAACCCAAACACACCAATTTTGGGGTGAACCAGTCGTGTTTTGACCCTTTATCCACTCGTTGCAATTTTAACGGTTTCGAATGAATAGAAATTTTTGCACGGCTCAACGAATGGTCAAAACACAATGGGTTTACCCCAAAATTGGTGTGTTTGGGTTTAAGAACGTCATTCAAACTCTTAATTGATTTAATGTGGGTATTGTAGATGGATGGTGATTGTGTTGATGAAGAAATGATAGTGAGCATTGTCTCTGGGGCTACACTATCTATCATATTGATCTTAGTTACATTCATGCGTAGGGTGCAAGCTAGACGTAGAAGAATACATAGTGGTCCAACTATTGAAAAATTAATTAAAAAAAGGAGGTTTGAGCACATGCACTACATAGTGCATGGATATATAGATAGTTGTCAAACCTATGTCAGAATGCGAAGTGGGGCTTTTAACAATCTTGCTAGGATTATGAGGTCAAATCAACTTTTAAAAGATTCAAGACATGTTATGATAGAAGAACAACTTGAGATAACGTTGAATATTTTGGGTCATAAAACCAAAAAATGCATCATAAGGTCGCATTTTATTAGATCGGGGGAGACCGTAAGTAGATATTTCAACAAAGTGCTTGAAGCAATTTATCACATACGTGAACGGTATATGAGACAAGTGCCAAATGAAGTACCGAAGGAGATCCTTAACAACCGTCGATGCTACCCTTATTTTAAGGTATATCATTTCTAGTTTATGAATAAGTATATATTTATTTAACTCTATATTCAAAATGCTTTCATATTTATTTGATGATATACTCTCTAGGATTGTATTGGTATGGTCGATGGGACCCATATTGATGCTATGCTTCTGGCTAGACTTGTTCCATGTTTTCGTGGTCGCAAAGGAGTCACACAAAATGTTTTGGTTGCTTGTATCCCTAATAAATTATTCACATACATTTTAGCCGAGTGGGAAGGCTCTGCAAACGACTATAGGATCCTACAATATGCATTATCTAGATCATAACCTCATGGTCTGAGAGTCTTTGATGGTAACTTCATCAACTTTTTGACTTTATTTAGTTACATATGAATATTTGAAAACGGTTTCAAAATAAACATGGCCTAATGTACATATTTTTATCATCGTAATTGTAGGTAAATACTACTTGTGTGATGCGGGTTAAACAACCATGCTAGGTTTTATCTCCCCTTATCATGGTGTTCAATATCATTTGAAAGAACAAATTGGAAATATACCTAATAATAGAAGGGAGCTATTCAATCTTAAACATTCGTCTTTAAGATCTAAGATTGAATCCACCTTTGGAATATTAAAAAATTATTTCAAGATTCTTTCCTCTAAACCAAATTACCAATTTGAGACACATGTTGATATTGTCTTGGCATGCATAGTGCTTCATAATTATATTGCCACAGTTGATCCAAACGATGACATCCTCAATGAACCTGTAAAAATTGAAGAAGATGATAATGAAATGGCAAATGAAGATGAGGATAATATTCTTGACTTCTCTCAAACTCAAACCCAACGAGAGCAAGTAGAATCAAGAATCGAATGGAAGAATCGTAGAGATCAAATAGCTTGGGAGATGTGGGTTGATTATTATGAACGCCACTGTGATGGGAACGTCACTGAAATTGGCATGTCAACTTAATTGGGAAGTCTTTCTAGTGAATGTTTTGGGTCAAGTGCCTTGACTTTGTTATTAACTTTGACGTTTAATACATTTTGTTACTTTTGCTTGTAAAATTATTAATATTCGTATGTCGCGATTAGTTTATGTAATGCTACAAGTCTCTTCTTCTTGTTATTAACTATGACGGTTGATTATTGTGTTTGACCAATGCAATTTATTTATTACTTGACTTGCTTATTTTTAGCCTATCTTATCATTATGCTTTATTTCCATAATTGTTTTTATATATTTGTCTTAATATTCTATAGGAATGGCTGAGAATCTTAATTTAGATGTGACTGACAAGAGCAATCCGACCACACCATCCCCATCACCTAGAACTCCAACTATTCCGATCATTAGTGGTTTCAATATGGGGTTCATGCCCTACCAGTCACCATTATTTGGTAATACTATAAATGCATTTCACAATGTGGTCAATTATGATGGTAGTTACTTTCCTATGACACATCCACCAATATCATTTACTCACACGCTTAGCGCTCCTACCTCCATACAACAACAGTGTCATATTCCATTCTCTAGTGGGGTTCATATCAATCCACACACTGAAGGGGGAGCCCTTTTAGAACAAAGGGGTAGCAAGAGAATGGGCACTTCTACATATGTTAAAAGTTCTTCTCAATATCCAAAAAGAAAAAGGAAGAAGGCGAGAATGGACACTTCTACATGTGATGAAAGTTCTTCTCCAGATCCAAAAAGAAAAAGGAAGAAGGCTGCTTCGAAGGAAAGAAATGATCCTACTGCTAAAGGTAAAAGTGGCTCACACAGATTTTGGCTAAGCAAACATGGTGATATTTTGATACCATTTCTTGCAAAAATGACAAAATCTGGGTACAAAGCTGACAAAAATTTCAAGCGGACCGCTTTCAATATGGCGGCTGTTCATATGAATGAACACTTTGATGATGGTTTTACCACTGAACATGTTATCAACCATATGAAAAGTCTTCGAATAAGATTTCATGATATGCAATTCTGTCGCAATCTAAGTGGGGCTGGATAGGAGGAATCTGCAAGCACTATCATCATGGATAAAGACTGTTTCAATAGGTGGAGTGAGTTATTTCTAAATTTTACACACTCTTCCTCCTTTCATATTTTTTACAATGTTGACTTTTGCTTTAATAGAGTTTAATACATGTTGAATTATGCAGAATAAAAATTTGAGAGGTTCCAAGCTTAAAGAATATATCAACAAGCCACTAGTTCACTATGAGGACCTTGCAATTACTATCAGTGATGATCAAGCTAAAGGAGACTACAACAATGATTTTAACACACATTTTGGTGGTAGTGCTCCCATTAATATTGGAGATGATGATGACAGTCCTCTATCCATTCAACACTCACCTCTCATTCAAAATCTGGATGAAGATGATTCACCAACTCAAATTAGAGAAACCTCTATTCCCAAAAAAGACAATCCTACAACTAATTTACAAAATGAAAAGAATGGCAAGGGAGGGACTAGTAAGGGAAAGGGTAATAGAAGATCTGATACTGATAATGAATTCATGCAACAAATGATATATTAGGTAAAAGAAATTGCATCCTCTATCAAGAATGTTAACATGCATTAGAGTGAAAAGTTGTCCAAAGCGGTCTTTGCCCACAAAGAAAGCTATCCTATTGAAATGCTTGAGAGGTTTATGACACACTTCTTGAAAGCGAATTGGATGGGAGGCGATTTATTGGAAATACTGACTTTGGACAAAAGGATTTGTTGAACAAGTTTATGGAGAAGCAAGCCTAAAACTAGTAACATGGCACTAGTTTTATTTTGGTAGCATTTTTTGGGTACTAACTTATATCTACATCCATACTTTTGACTTATTTTTGTACTTTTACTAATTTTGAGACAACAATATGTCTAATTTGTGATGTATTTGAGCGTGATGGAAGCTCATCGTAATTTAGATTTCCAGCTGCTCATGTGTATGATATCTATGACTTGATAACTTATAATAATGACTTTGTTGCATATATGTCGATGATTACATACTCATTTAATTTTATTTTTTAATATTATTCAATGTTGATGCACTACTTAACTGTACCTTCATAAGCTTGAGTTATATGTGAACATGTGTATGGAAATTGGGCTATAAATCTGAATATCTTATCTAATAATCATGGCTTGTTGTTGCAGGATCCTCCAACGGCTATGACAAATATTTGATTTCTTACCTATCGATATGAGTCGTTGCTATGATGTTTGGCCAATGACAAAGGATAACAACCTACATTGAGACCTCATGTACTGGTATGGCTATCTTTGTAGATTGTTAGTCATTTTCTGAGCACTCGCTAGATTTTAGAAATTTCAACATTTGCCAATGATACTTGTTTTCCTTATGGGGGTTTCTGTTTTTCTGAGCTGGCAGATGATTTCCATCAAAGTTTTCTTTAAATTTGAGGTTGAACCAAAATGAAGATTAGAAAAACTAAAGGGTCTTACATTTTTTCTATCAATCTGTCAGAGTTGGAAACCTATTTCAACCCTTTATTTTTGCCAACCAAATAGCCCCTATATAATATGACACTTCCATACAATCATACTATCTGAGACATCAAGCAATGATGATAATGAAAAATTATTAATGTGATATGCAACCTGCATTAAGGCTCATGTATGTAGGAGATGTGCATCATGCTTTTGATCAATATTTATGATTTAGCAACCTACATGAACTTTCATGTATTGGCATGGCTATCTATAATGATATTGATCAAGCTCTTACACATCAAGCACTACATGGGCACCTATGATTACCTTCAAGTTCTGAGCTTACATATGTCTATGATGAGTTTCATTGTCATGGTATTTTGACCCAAGAAATGGTGTTGTTGAATGAGGGTTACTGGTGGAGGCTCTTTTTTTAAAACCTTAGCAATCTGGTATTACACTCCAAGACTTGTTCTTTTAATATTCACACTTTCTAGCTATCTAAGCTGTTGAAGTTTTTACATACTCTAAAATCTGAGCATTCAGGTGTTTTGAGGATTACAATGAACATGTTATGTGAGAGACATGAACTCTCATGTATTGGTATGGCTATCTATAATGATATTGATCAAGCTCTTACACATCAAACTCTACATGGGGCATTTATGTATTGGATGGTTGTCACTTATGAATTTATTCAAGTTCTGAGCTCCAATATGTCTATGATGATTTTTCCCTTTTATTTGTGTACTTGATGCATCCCTCTAATTTCCCCCAAGATCTTGCAAAAATGTGTTAATTACCATATAATTTTGGAGCTACTTATATATTTGTATAGAGGACTAGTCTTAATTACTTTGTATCAGATTGATGCTTCTGCTCTCAGGTTCATATTCTACAAAACCCTTGTATAGTTCTCAACCTGGAAGTTCATATCATTTCATATTAAATGTGTCAATTGTACGCTTCATTCTTGTGTATAGGTTTTTCAGATTTTTTGTGGTATCAATATATATAAGATTGGGTACTGTATGTATTTCTCCACCATCAAGCATTAGAGATATTAAAATAAGGGGTGTGGTGTGTATCATAACCCGTTTCATGTATAGAGCAATATGAGGACTGTAATCACCTAGTAAGACCATTTCTAATTCTGTAGTAATTTTGTCAACATGTTTTCTGCTGTATTTTGGCATGGGCTTGTTTGCAAATGGGAATGTTTTTGATTAAGCATACATGTGACTATAATATGTTCTTCTAATAATGATATTGTATGGTATGCAGTGTAATATACAGGGGTTGCTTGGAGGAAATGAAAAATGCTCAAGGCATAGGAGATGTGCTAACATTTCTTGTTCGATGAAAATATCAGATTCAAGTGAAAAAAATAGAAATGCTTGAGGACGTGTTTTTTTATTATCAGGTTGATGCTTCTGCTCTTAGGTGCTTATTCTTATTCAGTTTGATATATCATATTCTAATATTACACTGTTATTTCTGTCTAGCTTGGAGGAAATGCAAAATGCTCGAGGTATAGGAGATGTGCTAACAGAAATGCTCAAGGCACGCAAATATATTTGTTCTTTAATACAATTGATAATGGTTATGGTCTTATTATTGGGTTCCTTTTGTTGTGATGTAGAATCTCTTGGTTCAGTATTGTGGTGATTAATATAGCGTTGATTAACAAATTCTTTGACAATTTTGTTTAGACTGGATTATCTATGTTGTAATAGGATGTTCAAGTGAAAAAAATATCTTGAACTGTGGTGGAGTTGATATATTATGTGCATGCCATTTTTGTTTTGAAGTTTTGATGGGGAATATTTAGAATTTGGTTGTTGAAATGAATACTAAATTTTATTATGTGCATGTCTCTTTGGTGGTAACCTCACCATGGTGAGCACAACTACTTTTTCTCATTGTGCACTTTTTCCATCCAAACTAGAGAAATTGAGAAGTAATATTTCCTATTCTTGGTTTTTTTTTTTTTTTTGGTGTGAAACAAACAATGGATGTTTGAGGACATCTATTTCCACCCATCTTTTGTGATGAACCAAACAAACTTCAAGAAACCTTTAATAAAACATAGAAATCAATATCTATGCTTGGAAATAGATTTCCTATATTTAGGGAAACCAACCAAACAGCCCCTTAAACTAGGAGAGATACAAGTCCATTGCAAGTGGTTATTTGTGGGGTTTATTTGTTTGATATAACTTGGTTGTAAAAGTGTTTCTTTTAAATCTCAACTTGATGATGTAATATTACTTGTGAACTTTCTTAATACTTACGTTTATGTACATTCAGCTTTCATTTTATGTGTCATTATGATCATAAGCAATGTAAGCTACAAATTATTGGAAAAGATAATTTGCTTATAAATCATGAGCAATGTCAGCTACACATTATTTGAAAAAATTATTCGCTCATATAGCAATCAATTACTTCAATGCCTCAAATCTAATAATAACAGATGACATGAAATTCTTATGAAGTAAAAAAGAAAAAGGGAAAAAATCTTCTATGTTAATCCCTAATGACTGTAGAATAAAAAAACCCATCATGATTTAAGAAAACCTCTCCATAAGTTTGCAAAGATAACCACATTGAGCTATTAGGTTGCTCACTTCTTATTATCTTAAAACTAATTCATCAAATTTTCATTGAAACAGCTATTACATCCGCATTTCTTAAGTTATTTTGATATTAGCTTCTCCAATCAAGAGTAAAACAGGCAATTAGAGGGAAATTAGCTCCTCAAATTGCTAATTATACCATTGATTTAAATGACTAATTTTAAATAACTTAAGAATTGAGTTACCTAATAATAATTTCAATGCTTTGACGAACTAATTTCAAATTTTGAAAGGTTTAAGGGACTACTACAAAAAATATTTTAATCAATTAATTTTTGTTAATAATTAAATAATTCCATAATTTGGTATCAATCAATTGGTTAATATTTATATGTGCAATGTCTATTATATTTACAATGCTAATGTGTTATAAGCTTCTTTCTACTCTTTAGTTGTTTACCAATTCTAATTAGATCATTTTTTTATAATTGGTTTTGAATGGAGAGAGCATTAATTCGGGCGCTTAAGCTTCTTTATACTCTTTAGTTGTCAAAAAATTCTAATTAGATAAATTTTTATTAATTAGTTTTGAATGGAGAGAGCTTTAATTCAGGAGTTTAATTTTAATTTAATAGTTTTAGTTGATATCAAATTATAATTAGGATAAGAATGTTAATATTAAAAAGGATTAGGGGTAAAATTGATCAATAAAAGTTTTTCAAGAACTCCCACTTTTAAAGGGAGTATGATATGATGTTTATTATCACATTTATGCTACACTTGTGGAAGGGTTGGATATGGGCCGGTTCCAACCACGGGCCGAACCAACCCAGCTTAATTGGGTCAAAACATAGCGTGACCCACCGGATCGAGCTCAATCCGGCCTACGCTGGAGGTGGGTCATAAATCAAGCTGGATTTTGAGTCAGACCTGAGATCAAAGAGGTAAGCTCAGCCTACCAGTGACCTGGCCGAGGCCTGATTAATTATAAATGTTTAATTTTCTTAATATTTATAATTAATATTTTTTTCTTGTATTTGCAATTTAAATTTATACTAAATAAAAAAGTTATTAACTTCTCATGTATGTGGATCTTTTTCTATAGTTTGAACCTCGTATATCTGTATATTTGTGATGTTTTTATGTGTGATGTTTATCTTTGTGTAATGTACATACATAATATCAACTAAAGAGTTTAAAATAGGAAAAAAATAAATTAAATATAATTTTATACATATAAATACAAGTATAATATATTTTTGAAATAGGGACATATTGAGAAAAGAATTGAGAAACAATAAACTCATGGGCCGACCCACGACCCGTAGGCCAGTTTCGACTCGGCCTGACTCTAGGCGGGTCATGAGCTGGGCTGAGTGCGATCATAGACCCAAGATCAGAGAGACAAGCCCGACCCACTCTGACCCACGTGGCTCCGGATCAAACCTGATCGGGCCTTAACCCCACCAGGTCGATTCATGGGCCTGAGCCAGCCCGGCCCACGCCCACCCCTATCCTTGTTATTTAATCATGTCACAATTAGCCTAAGGAAACCACATTTGGAGATGTATTCTAGAGTTATTATCCCGATAGATGTATGATGGGAAAATGCTAATTGTACTATATTTCTTATGCTATTTTTATACAACTACTAATAAATTTGTTATCTTTTTTGAAATTTGTAATAAAAAATGATGAGTCATCATGACCCAACTCTTTTCTTTGTGAAAGTACCAAAAGAGTGCAGATCACCTTGGGCATATAGTATTTTTATGCGGAAACAACAGCCGAGTGACACGCGGATAAGTCTTTCCACTCACTAACAGTCATATTGGGATCCTCTACTAATAAATAGTGTTCCTAATATCTCCTAATAAATAGATTTTAGACTTTGATTTATCAATCAAAGGCCAATATCTCATCCTTATCCTCCCCTACTTTTGCTCATGAGGAGATCTTGGGCTTTGATTGATAAATTAAAGGCCAAAATCCCATTAGGAGATATTAGGAACCTCCTTATTAGTAGAGGATCCTAATCCCTAACAGTCTGACATGAGAATTGATTCTCTTATCTTATTGAGAAATTGATTAAGAGAGCTTACCTTTTAATGAAAACTACTATAACTAATTCATTAACGCCTTAGAGCTTTTAACAAAAAAGCGTAATGAATAGTACAAATCCATTAAATTCAACAAAAACTAAAATCTTATTTCTTATGGTTGCATCTAATTTCATTATGTTATATATTTCCCACGGACAAATTTTCAAAACCAACATCTTTTCACATTTAATCCCAAAAAGACACATTTTGAAGTTATTTACAAAAAACAACCTGGTTTCAACCTTAACGCTGGAACCAATTCGGTTTTTGTGAAAAGGAGTCTGAAACTTCACGGGAGTTGAACTCCTGTGAAGTTTAGCAAAGCTACTAAACTTCACGGGAGTTCAACTCCCGTAAAGTTCCATAGTTAAAAAAGTTTTCGAACTATGAAACTTCACGGAAGTTGAACTCCCATGAAGTTTAGCAGCTTTGCTAAACTTTACGGGAGTTCAACTCCTGTAAAGTTTCGGAAGTTTTTTTTTCAAAAACCGATCTGGTTTCAGCGTCAAGACTGAAACCAGGTCGGTTTTTGAAAATATTATTGAAAAGGGTCTTTGTTTGAGATTAAATGTGGAAAGAGGTTGCTTTTGAAAATTTGTCATATTTCCTACAATAGAATTTTTTTGCATTTGATGGTTTCATAGGTGAGTTGTATCATACCCATTGTATATTCAAGTAGGCTTGTAATTTAGAATTGAAAAATTCCCCAAAAATCCAAAATATGGGACCAACATGGGGGACAAGTGAGGTGTTCCCCTTCTCATAATGAGTTAGTCATCATTAATGATGATCAGCTCATTATGCAATAGGAGGAGGATACCTTACATGTCCCCTCTGTGGTTCCATATTTTGAGTCACTGTAGCAAAGCTCTTTAGAATTTATGCATATGTGCTACTGCTAAAAAGTAATTTGTGCCGCCATGAGAACACTGGCTCATGTTTCAATCGTTACTTGAAAACACTTCCAATATAAGCTCAAAGTACATAATATTAATATTTAATATGATACAGTTTTTTATAATTAAATTATACCGTTTCTCGAGAGAGAGAAAAATATAATGTCCTCCTATGACAAGGATACCCATTTATATATATATATGAGATTAATGGGTATCCTTGTCATAGGAGGGGATTTCCTCCTTGACGCCTCTAAAATCACATGATTGAGCGACATTATGGATGATCCGCTCCGTTAAACTTGTTCTACATATTCTAAAATCCCAACACACCAAGTTTGGGGTGAATCCGTCGTCGTTTGACCCTCCATCGAACCATGTGAAAAGTTCCATTCATTCAAAACTGTTAAAATTGATACGAGTGGATGAAGGGTCAAATGACGACGGGTTCACCCCAAACTTGGTGTGTTGGGGTTTTAGAATATGTAGATCAAGTTCAACGGAGCGGATCATCCACAATGTCGCTCAATCATGTGATTTTAGAGGCGTCAAGGAGGAAATCCCCTCCTATGACAAGGATACCCATTAATCTCTCTCTCTCTCTCTCTCTCTCTATATATATATATATATATATATATATATATATATATATATATATATTATTTTTTAAATATATATTTATATATATATATATATAATATTCTAATATATTATATATTGGGGAGAGAGAGAGAGAGAGAGAGTAAAACTCCTAATCAACTCATTGATGTCCCGAAACTTTCTAGACTCATTTATTATCTAATCTTTTCATATCATCAAAATGATCCCTTCGAGCCAATATGAAGTGGCTAAAAAGTTTGTGATAACTTTATTGCCTATCACACGTTAAGTTGACACAAAGTTTTGGGCTCATATATATATATATGAGTTGGGTACTGGTCACAAGCCAGTTATTATATGACTTATGTAGTGAGTGGCATATATCCGCTCACTATTGAAATCGGGCCGCACATTTCAAATGGGTATTAGGGAGTGATTGGAATTGGAATGATGTGGATGGATAGGACACCTACTACCGAGCAGAATTATATATTATATTAATATATATATATATATATAGTTATATATATATTTATATATTATATATTATAGTATATATATATATAATATGTATATATAAAGAGAGAGAG